ATGAATCAGTTGCCAAGCATCTGAATGTAAATCACAAGACCCTGGAGAGGCTGCAACATTCCAGCTGATTGGTGCTTCTTCTGGGCTCAGCAGAAGCACCAGGATCAGCGCCGACCTCCAGCTGGAGCCTGGCACTGATCCTGGCGCTTCCACTGAGCCCTGATAGCCCCGAAGAAGCGCCAATCATCTGGAAAACAGTACTGATCCTGGCGCTTCCGCTGAGCCCTGACAGCCCTGCAGCTCCAGTCATCTCTCGCTCAGGTTTGTGCGGTGCTGCCACCGGTTCAGCTCATTCCCCTCCCCTGCTACCACTTTTTTAGGATGGTCGCGTACCACCTGCCAGGTGCCAATGTACCACAGTTGGTACCCGTACTACTGGTTGAAAAGCCCTGATCTACAGCACTATGAAAGAAACATAAAAAAAACTGAAACCCCGAGCGTTGTTAATCGGAAAGAAAGAAAAAAGTTGACGGGTTGCCCAGCCGTTTAGGGACCGTTCAACGTTACCACGGGAAAAATGGGAGGTGACTGTGTTTCACACTTACGACCACGGCAGCATCCCCGTGGTCACGTGATCAAAATTCAGGTGGACTCGTATTTAGGGCAAGTGGCCGTGTCCCCTTTTGCAAGCTTCTGACAAGCAAAGTTGAGGGGGATGTCGGACTCGCGTAACCCCTGTGTTACATACTAAACACCTGCAGTGATTTACTTAACAACTGTGGCAAACAAAGGTGGTAAAATGGGGGCAAAACTCACTTAGCAACCGTCTCACTTAGCAACGGAAATTTTGGCCTCCGTAGCGGTTCTGAGTGGAGGGCCACCTGTTACGTTCACAAAGAACTTAACACACACACAACACAGATACAATCCCTCGTTTTTCTCTGACCTCTGTGAACACCACACTAGGCACATTCAGTTATCTACAAGGAAAAGCCTGTATAAAATAGAATGAATAGGGGGGAAATAAAATAACCCTTCAAATCAGATTCCAACTACAAGAAGCAGTATTTGAATTACTATTATTATTTTGCAAGTTTCGGGGTCGTTTTATTTTTTTAATTACCTTATCGCAGAATTCAGCCAGGGCCGTGAAGTCCCATTTCTTGGCATAGGAAATATTATACTTGAGGACAGCTTCCTGCAAAATAAAAAAATATAGCACAACATTGGCAATGGGGGGAAAGAAGGGTGTTTTGAATCAACTGCACCCTCTGCTGTTCAACTGCCATTTGGCCACAGATGTAATGGCGCCGTTTGCAGAAAATACAAGTATATATTTTCAAAAATTACGGTAATAGCGCCGACGTTTGCAGAAAATACAGTATATATTTTTCAAAAATTATGGTTCAGAGGGGAAATCTCTGGAAGCTTTCCATTCCTATCTTTAGGGCTCCCCAAAGAATCAAACAAGCAGCCTAAAATGGCCACTTGTGATAGCTCTTTCACCCCAGCTTTGGGTTTTAAGGACAGGAACAGGAGCGGCAAACTTTTGTGGGTTAAAGTGGTTTAATTTCTCTTTAGCACCTTCCCAGACCTTCAAGATTGCTTGAAAAAGTAGAAATGTGGAACTTTGTTTCTGGAATCTTGGAAAAGGTGCGAATAAGAGTAAAAAGCCTTGTATTCCAATTCCTACTTTAAATCCCACCCAAAAAGTTTAAAGAGAAAAGAGAAAGAAGACTCAGTGTACTTTAGAACATGGGATAATTTCTATCAATGGCTGGAAAGACGAGTCAGAGAGAAAAGAACGTGATATGTAACTTTGAATATATATTAGCAAGAAGGCTATTGAGCGATTAATTAACATATTGTTTATGATAATTAACTGTTATCTATTGTTTGTTAAACACAAGAACCCAGACATCATGCTGTTTGCTAAATGTTGAGAATGTTATTTGGAAAAACCCCAACCCTAATCCTAACCCAAACCCTAACCCCGACCTCACCTTATTCCTAACCCTATAAAAACTAAAATAATTTATACCAAAAAAAACCAAAAACAAGCTTCTGACAAGCAAAAGGGGGAAGCAAATTCGCTTAATGACCGATTCCCTTAACTGCAGTGATTCTCTTAACAGCCATGGGAAAAAAAAACAACAACATGTAAAATCAGCCACCAATTCCATTCCCTAGCAATGAAAATTCTGGTCCAAATTTTGGCTGGTAAATTGAGGACTGTCTGTAATTCTTTGGCTGGTTACCGTCTGTAACTGAAAAGTTTTTACCTTCAGATCTCGGGAACAGGTGAATTTCTTGAGGAGTGAAGTCTGTATTAAGTCCCACCGGCTTCCAGCAGTCCTGTCACCGTTCTTTATAAAGAACAAATGTTTATATGTCATATTAAAAAACCATCCAACCTCTTAAGATTTACTCTCCGGTGAGAACGAAGAAAACTGAGCATGTATGCAATTTATAAAGCATCAACCGAATTTACAACTGTGTTCCTATTAGGAAAGGAAGTATGAAGCATTTACTTAAGTTTTAAGAGTATTGTACAGAGTAATCAACCTTTTTTCCCCCAACTAATCAATGGGACTGCACCAGTAAATATAATTTAGCTTCACGTTTTCTACTAACCGCGTTTCCCCGAAAATAAGACCCGGTCTTATATTTTGTTTGCCTCCAAAAAAGACACCAGGTCTTATTTTCGGGGGGGTGTCCTACCTTAGGACCAACACAGCCAGGCCTCCCAAACCATGACACTTGTCACACCACTGCTTGACTTGCGGCCAGATGCCATGTGGTGCATTGCGCTGTTGCCACTTTGATGCAAACGTTTTGTCCTGGTACTCATTGTTTGTTTGATACTCGATGCACAGTCTAGAACTTGTCAATGCCAGTTGCCCTGTGACTCACTACATTATTCTTTCTGGGAAAAATTGTTTTGCTACTCATCGTTTTTGCTACTCATCGCGCCTCCCAGAACCGATTAACGATCAGTATGAAGGCACCAAGGTAGTCCCACTTACCCAATAAAATTATTGTCCCTTTCTAATGCTGAACTTTACCAACTTCATAAAACGTTAATTTTTTTGCTTGTGCGTATGGAACGACTTGGAACCACAGACTTGTGCACCACGGAAGTATAAGGTTTGCTTATGGAAATGTTATTGTCATGAATGCAAAAGCTTTACTAATTATAAACAGCAAAGGGGCTGCTGTGGATTATATTAGATTTCTACAATATACTAATACTAATACTAATAATAATAGGAACTGCTTCCATCCTGCGACAATATCTGTAATACCATCAAACATCCACATCTGCCTATCCCAGGTAATGGGTAAGGACTCGATAGGTAGACAAAATGCCAAATCCAGTCTGAACATCTGGCTGACTGTGCGATGATCCATAATAATAATAATAATAATAAAGTTGGAAGGGACCTTGGAGGTCATCGAGTCCAACCTCCTGCTCAGGCAGGAAACACTACACCATTTCGGACAAGTGGCTGTCCAGTCTCTTCTTAAAAACTTCCAGTGTTGGAGCATTCACCGCTTTTGGAGGCAGGTTGTTCCACTGGTTAATTGTTCTAACTGTCAGGAAGTTTCTCCTTAGTTCTAGGTTGCTTCTCTCCTTGGTTAGTTTCCATCCGTTGCTTCTTGTCCTGCCTTCAGGCGCTTTGGAGAATAGCTTGACTCCCTCTTCTTTGTGGCAACCCCTGAGATACTGGAACATTGCTATCATGTCCCCCCTCATCCTTCTCTTCGTTAAACTAGACATACCCAATTCCAGCAACCGTTCCTTATATGTTTTAGCCTCCAGTCCCCTAATCATCTTTGTTGCTCTTCTCTGGAATCTTTCTAGAGTCTCAACATCTTTTTTACATCATGCACATCAGAAACAATTGGCCCCCGAATGTGATCGAGTAACACAACGATCATCAAAGGCAATCAAGAGCATAGCTAAGAAACACAGAAGATCCTGTTGCTTAAATAGTTACGTGGCCTCACCTCGTCTTCTACGGGATATAAATTCTGTTCCGAACAAGGCATTTTCACATGCTTATTGTCCCACAAATCCTTATAATGGGTCGGGAAAGGCTTAGGCACTTCTCCTTCCTTCAGAAGATCTACCTGCCACAGAGAAGATACGCCGAAAAACAGAAGCAAATCACATTTAAGCTTAAGGTCCGTATCCGCAACACTTCAAGACTTTTACAGTCACAAAATATACATGCCAGCATTTCTCAACCTTAGCAGCTTTAAGATTTGTGGACTCCAATTCCGAGAATTCCTCAGCTAGTTGAAGCCCACACATTTTAAAAGTTGTTCAGGTTGAGGAACATTGATATACAGAGGCCCACTCTGACTTAGGCAACCGTTCTGTTCCCCCAAAAAATCTTGTTACTTTTTGTACAAATAGGGTATTTAGCTGTGCAATGTGTTACTTGGTGTTCTAGATAGCATTCGTATTTTCAGATTTTAAGCCTGAATATATATATATATATACAGGGAATGAGAGAGTATCTGTAATTATATCTAACATTCATATTTTCACAGATTTAAACCTCTGGATGGGGGGTTGGCTGTGCTCTGATTGGATGGGGGAGTGTTCTGTTTGGGTGGGGGCTTTGTTGTGCTCAGGTTAGTCTGAGTTGCAGGGGGATTTGAGATGGTGAGCTTCATTGCTCACCATCTCAACAGCAATGAAGCTCACCATCTCAAATCCCCCTGCAACTCAGACTAACCTGAGCACANCAGAGCACAGCCAACCCCCCATCCAATCAGAGCACAGCCAAGCTCCTTAACCAATCAGAACACACCTCCACCCAATCAGAACACAGCCAAGCTCCCACCCAATCAGATCAAACCCCACTGGCAGTTAAAAGGAAGAAACAGCTGCGATCACACACTACTCCTAGAAGCACGAAGCTGAAGACACCAGCCTGAAGATGACAAATGTGACTTCGTTGAAACGTCGCCAAGACACTTCCAATTTTACGCGGGAGAAAACCTGAATATCCAAAGACCTCTCTCTCTCTCTCTCTCTCTCTCTCTCTATCTATCTATATATATATATGTAGGTCTTTAGTTATTCGGGTTTTCTCCCGCGTAGAAAGACCTACATACAAACACCCGCGAAAACCTCAGAAAACATATATATATATATATATATATACACACACACACATATATATATACATACATACATACATACATACATACATACATACAGGGACTGGGAGAGTATCTGTAAATACATCTAACACTTTACTTCAAACAATGCAACCGATACTCATTTTATATCAGATAGGTATTATTTGATTTTTCTGTCTTTCTCAATGAAGTGGTAGCAAGTTGCCGTAATACAGAAAAAGAACATCTCCTATTCCTATTGGCTTAGAAATATTAAGAATTGACAAGCAATTTAGGTACTGCGTCTCAAAAAAATCTGCTTGTGACGAGTGCAACTGATATGAGCCAGAGGATTTCCTTCCTTCTCCACTCTCCAGGTAGGAAACCTTGGGTAGACAAATGGCGAAGTGTGGGAACAAACGATAGTCTGAAAATCAAGAAGCGCCGATGAAATCTCCTAAGTTTTTCTTTGAACCTGCGTTTATATGAAACATACCCTTCACCCCCCAATTTTCTCTCTGAGATCCAAAGTTTTTTTTGGGGGGGGTGTCAGGATGTAGCAGTCTAAATGCTTCCTCAACCTACAAAATGTCAAGATGTCATGGAAAAGGGTCGGTCCAGGGAAGAAAGATTTGCTAGTAAAGGAAATAGCATACTCTGATTGTAACCGTATGTTTGGCAGAAGGTCTCAAGTGAGGAAGATGAAGACCACAGACCGGCAATCTTCGCATCTCTTCAATCGGCGTCCCAAACCACTTTTTGTTAGATGGGAGCGAGGGAGGGCTGTATTTACAATATTTCCTTCCCGGGCGGTGTTCACTCCTGTCGTTGAAAGATTTAAGATAAAACTTTCATTGGGTAAAGAAAAACATGTAGCAACAACAAGGACCGTTAATGAAAACTAAAACTAACATGGATAAAATACAGGAACTGCGCAACTTACAACAATTTGTAGAGTGGCTGTTTGAACGTACAACAGCACTGGAAACAAAAAAATGGTTAATGACTGTTTTTCACTCTTTTGACCACTGCAGCATCCACCTGGCCAGCTGATCAAAATTTGTACGCTTGGCAATGGACTCACAATTTATAATGGTTGCAGCGTCCCGGGGTCATGCAATCAGCTTTTGTGACTTTCTGACAAGCCAAGTCAACGGGGAAGCCAGGTTTACTTAACAACCATGTTACTAACTTGACAACTGTAGCAAGAAAGTCACTTAACAGCTGTCTTGCGTAGCAACAAGAATTTGGGACTCAACTGAAGTCGCAGGTCAAAGCTACCTGCATTCAGTACTCTCAGCTAACACGTCAAAAGAACTAGCCACATTATTCAACAGCAAAACAGCGACACTTTTGGCCTTAATGAAGCCCATCCTTAAAAACAACCCAATTCAAAAAAAGTACAAATGATTCTTCCTTTATTACGATGATGACGATATTAAATGCCCACTTTCCAATTGCAACTTCTGGCATTATTTTGTGAGAATTGTGGATCGACTGATCGGGGTTTCCCCCCCCCCCAAAAATTATTATTAGCACTACAGTAAAACTAAATTGCTTGTTTTGTCCTACGTTTGAGGGGGGGGGTGGAAATCCAGAAAATATCGTCTTTTATTCCCAATTGGGATCGATGAAATGGAATAATGGAACAACGAAAATTGCCTTTTCAAAACCCAAAGCGTGTTTTGCACCATCCCTAAAAACTTTGTCCTCTCGTCTGTCATCCCTGTGATTTTGCCACCCTGACGTACCTGCGTCTAATTTTCCGTTTTACTCTGAGTTTACTTGGAGTTGTCTTAGGACAACTCAAAAGCAGCTCCTTGTAATCCCAAATTAAGAGCCGGGAGGGGAATGGGGGGGACCCACCAATACCTTTTCTCATCCCCTCTATGGACCCGTGGGAAATGGGCGGTAATTTTAGAATCCTTCCTTCCCCCGTGCTTGGCGCTTCTGCCCTCCGATGCCAGGTGAGGCGAAGTTCCTGATACGTCCGTGAGCATCTCGGGATCTTTCGCGGGATTGTCCACGGCTTCGGCGTTGAGGCCAAATCGGTCCCCTTCGCTTTTCTGGGGTGCACACTGTCTCTTTCTGGAATCCAGGTCAGTCTCTGCCCTGCGGAACCGGGCAGAGTTGTCTGGTCCTTCCGGCACATCGACATTGCCGTGGTCCTCAAGAAGAGGGCTGATCTCCTCGTCGGCCTCCGACATCTGGCAACTGTTTCTGGAGTTGTCCACGTCCATGGGGGATTCGGGCTCGCTCTCCTTCTCAAATGAGGGCGACTCCCCTAAGCATCCCCGATCTCGGTCCCGAAAGCCATAAAGGTCGGACGAAGGGGCCAGACCACCTCCGTCGGAAAGCGGACTCTCCGGGATCACGTCGGCCTCCTCGGGCTCGGCGTTGTCGCCCACTGGATCCTCAGGGCCGCAATTTTTCATCGACAGCTGCGGGCTCTGCGGAGTTGCCTCCCTTGCGGGATCCCAGTCTTTGGAAGCCTGTTTCAGATTGGGCGTCTTGGTGGGGCTGCCCGGAGAAAGCTTCCGGGTGGCGCAGTTCTCCCGGATTTCATGACCGTCTCGATAAAGCTGAGCGCCAGTTTTGTACATCTGGTGAATGTTCACGTTTGTCAAGGGCTCGCTTGGTTTCAGAGCCTCGGCTTCGGACAGCTTATCCCTACAGGGGCCCTCAGCTGGAGGAAAAAAACCCTGCTTGGTGCTCATTTCTGCGGATAAATCTGAACACCCCTGCTCGAAGAGACCCTCGGCCTTTTTGGCATCACGGTCGAAAACACGGTCTTTTTTAACAAAGGCCATTTTGGGCTCGGCTTCCATGTTGCTTCTTTTGCTTTGTCTGCAGAAAGAAGATGCAAAGTGCGGTACATTTAAACAGAGACACATTACATGCAATTCCTTGCCGCTAGCCGGGCTGCTAGCAGTTGGTATCCCAACAACTGGAGGGCACGCAGTTGCCTCTCTCTGAATTAAAAGATTAAGAAGCTTGTAAAAAGCTGGATTGGAGCATCATTTTCATCCTAAATTTTCTAGATAAGCGTCGCCCACTCAATGGGCCACACCCACCCAATGGGCCACACCCACCCGGCACTCGATGCATAAGTGGGTTTTGGGTTGCAGTTTGGGCACTCGGTCTCTAAAAGGTTCTCCATCACTGAACTAAGCGATCGTGCCAAGCAGAGTGTGATTAAACACCCTTCCTTTACAAAACACTCCAAATGAGAAGCAGGCCCTCGGTCTGATATCAGCATCACTATGTACATCACCTCCTACACTGTGTATTCTTTTTGTTGACATCCTTGTTAATAAAACTATACTTCACTAAAAGGCGTAACAGCAAAAGCTAACATTCTAGTGCAGGGGTGTCAAACTGCCGGCCCGCAGGCTGGATACGTCATGCTGAAACCACGTGGCAATGGAAAAAAAAGTCACAATACGTCACGACACGTGACGTTGCGAGTTTGACACCCCTGTTCTAGTAGGATATTAGCGTCCTGGTGGAATAATCTAGCAGCAGCCGTTCCTATCAGCTGCAGCCAAAATAAAATTAGTTGAACCTTGTTTTGTTTTACCTTTCAGAGTCTATAGTTCTGGGTCCTCTGTTCTCCATCCAAGAGGTAATCCTCTTTTGTTTGTAAACTGGAAGGAAATATACAATAGTTTTACCGGAAGCAGAAAGGTTGGACCCAAACATGCCAATCATAAAACAGAGCTCTATAAATTAATACGTGTTTACTCTGGTATTTAATGGGCAGGAAGTTTGGGGAAATATACCAAAGCATTCGGAATTAGCTGCAGATCCAAGCCTGTGTTATTTGCCAAAGTTAAGTGTCACTTTTCTGACCCACAAGCTGCAGGTAGTTCTCGACTTGGGACTTTTCTTGCCACAGTTGTTAAGTGACTCGCCACAGTTGTTAAGTTAGTAACACAATTGTTAAAGTGAATCTGGCTACCCCCATTGACTTTGCTTGTCAGAAGGTCACATGACCCTAGACACTGCAACCGTTGTAAATATGAACAAGTTGCCGAGCGTCCCAATTTTGATCACGTGACAACGGGGGACGCTGCAAGGGTCGTATGTATAAAAAGCAGCCACAAGTCCCTTTTTTCAGTGTCGTTGTGACTTGGAACAGCCAGTTAACAAACTGTTGTTAAGTCGAGGACTACCTGTAGTTAAAACACAGCCAGAAAAGCCTCTTTAGTAGGTGGCTCCACATAGAGCTGGGCCTCTTCCAAGCGGAACACCATGCAAAATCTAATAATAATAATAATCTATATAAATAAAAATGTAAATGTTTGTTTGTTCAAAATCTTAAATCTCCGAAAGTTCTTCACCGATTGCTTTGAAATTTTGACACGACGTTGCATTCGAATACGCGCGTGTTTTTATATACCTACTATATATATATAGATGTCACACCCGTGACAGGTAAAAACATGATATATTACAAACGTGCGCTTTCTCTTTTCTCTCTTTTCCATTTAACCAGACTGAGCCACAGCAACGCATGGCTGGGTACAGCTAATAATAATAATAATAATAATAATAATAATAATAATAATAATAATAAAAGAAGAATAATTGTGGCACCCAGAACTCCACAGGAGGCAACTGCAGCTTTCCAGCAGAATAAAATAATAATAATAAAAAGCCATTTGCAGGCGAAGGGAACATGCCAGTCTAGGGTGGAGTCTGGGGGGGGGAGGGGAGTTCACAGAAGCAAGCAGGGCAGGGATCTCCTGGTGGTGACCCATCCCTCCCCTCCTCCCTCCAGCACGCCCGCATCTCAACCAACGGGGGCGCTCGCCTTTGTTCCCCACGGTGGCTGCGGGGCTGCCGGGTCCGGGCCCTTCCTCCCGGCGGCGGGGAGGCGGCGGGGGCGGCGGGACCACCTTCTCGGAGGAGGAAGGCGCCGGCCTCCCCCCGGAAGCGCCGGCGGGGAAGCAGGGGCCCACGCGAGCCCTTTTCCCGGGGGGTTCACACTCGGGCCCCGCGCTCATGCTGGGGGGGGCGACCCAGGTCACCCCCGGGAGACGGGGAGGCCCGGCCGCATCCTCCCGCTTCCTTCTCCTTCCTCGTTTCCCCGCCGAGCCGGAAAGCGAGTGTCGCAAAGAGAGCGGAGGGAGACGCGGAGGAGGAGTCGGAGGCGGCGCTCGCCGATGACGTCGCGCGCGCCTCGCTCGCACGCACGCGGATGACGTCGCGCGCGCCTGGCTCGCTCGCACGCGGACGACACCCGCTCCTCTCGCTCTTTCTAGAGGTCGTCCTCGCGGCGAAGGGCAGCTTCCGGTCGGGGGCCGGAAGGGGCGGCGCCGAGCGGGCAACGCGGCGCTGAGGCGAAGGAGAAGGAGGAGAAGCCGGAGGAGGAGAAGGAAGGAAGAGCAAGGGCGGCCCAGGCCCTCCGCCGCCGCCAGCATGGAAGGAGGCGCCGGGAACTCGAAGAGCTCCAGTTTCGCCGGCCTCTTCGGCGCCGGAGGAGTGGCGGGGCCGGGCTATTCCCACGCGGACCTGGCCGGCGTCCCTCGTGAGTGGGCCTCGCCGTTTCCCGGGCCCCGCGGGCCGAGCTTGGGGAAAGGCCGCTTTCCGTGGGGGTGGGGAGGGGCTGGGGAGGGTGGGGGGCGGAGAGATTTCGGCCTGAGGGGGTCCTCCGAGCAGCGGGGCGAAAAGGGATCGCCCCTTTAGCTGGGGGGGGGGGGTTCCTGTGATGATTGTATTTAATGTATTTAATGAATTAAGCGGGGACCTTTGATTTAAGAGGCAGCAAAGAGGCTCCTTCAAAGGGCCGCTCCCCCCCCCCGTCTGAAGGGGCCCTTGAGGAGGGGGGGTTCAAGGTCCATCGGGCAGCACGTGCTCATCCGATACACACACACACACACACACACATATCTATATATCTATATGAGTGCTTTTTGAACACCCTGTCAGCCTAAATATGGGAGAGAGAGAAGTCTTAACATGCAGACAGCCCAGGTTCGAATCTCGGAAGGGTATGTCTGACTGATGAAAACCAAACAAGGTTAGAAATAGCTATCTCAGTACTCCCTTAATTCTTTGTTAGCAATCCAAATTTTGAAAAACATATATCTCTATCTATCTTCCAGACTGCTGTTTTAACGCCCTGATGATGTCAGATGGTTCTGACGAAAGCTCGGCTCATTAAATTTTTAAACTTTTAAAATTTTATTCCTCTTGGTGCTCGGCTTTTATTTGCTTTTTATCATGACTACACCCAAGAGTCGGATTTTTAGTATAATGAATTCTCATATCTATCTATATCTATCTATATATATATATGTATAGAGAGAGAGAGAGAGAGAGAGATTCAGATTTCTTTTTGCTGACAAAAGATTTAAGTGGGAGACTAGTATAGCTATTTCGGACTCGTCTCCCACTTACATCTTTGACTCTTGTCAGCAAAAAGAAATCTGAATTTGTAATGTATCGCAGTTGTTGCGACTTGAGCCTGCTTAAGACCCCTAGTTGGGGGGGCTGCAAGGCAAAAGAGATTTTATATATATATATAAAAAAGTAGAACTCCAGTATAGCAGTCAAAATGCCAAGGTGCAATCAATCAGACCGGTCTGTCTGAAAAACTTTCTGTATATATATATATATATAGAGAGAGAGAGATATGTATGTATATTATTATTATTATTATTATTATTTTAATTTCTATACCGCCCTTCTCCCGCAGGACTCAGGGCGGTGCACAGCATATTAAAAACAGATACAATAACAATATACAAAAATAAAACCCTTCTAAAACCAAATTAAAAACCAAATATTAGAGGCTGTGTTCCAATTAAAATTATACTTAAAATCGTCCCTAAATAAAATNAGGGCGCGGCGGAAAGTAAGGAGATCCGGAATCATCCGGATCTCGGGGGGTAGTTCGTTCCAGAGGGTGGGGGCACCCACAGAGAAGGCCCTCCCCCTGGGGGTCGCCAGCCGACACTGTTTGGCCGACGGCACCCTGAGGAGACCCACTCTGTGGGAGCGTACCGGTCTATGGGAGGAAATCTGAGGCAGAAGGCGGTATAGATAGATAGATAGATATGTATACCATAGATAGATATGTATAGATAGATATAATCTATCTGATCTGAATCTGCTTTATCTCCTGAATCCAGACATCACACACACACAATTGGGTCTTCTTTATTTTTGTGAGATAGATAGATAGATAGATGTGTGTGTGTGTGTGTGTGTATATATATATATATATAGAGAGAGAGAGAGAATCTATCTGATCTGAATCTGCTTTATCTCCTGAATCCAGACTTCACACACACACACACTCACCTGATTGGGTCTTTTGGGGGGGGGAAACAGGATATCTCAAACCCTGATCTGCATCTAGAAGAGAATTGGAGCTGGAAGGGACCTTGGAGGTCTTCTAGTCCAGCCTTCCAAATCCAGCTTCCTCTCGCCTGCCTTCCAGATCCTGACGTTACCCTTCCTCAAATTCATTTGGAAAAAAGTTCCCCCACCTTCAGATTGGATTGCCTCCCTACCCCGTTGTGCCAGGCTAGCCTATAGCCTTTTGGGATCTCCTGGTGGTCTCTCATCCAGGCCCAGCCCTGCTTTTATCTCCTGAATCCGGTCATCACACACACACACACACACACCCTATTGGGTCCAGATCCTGATGTTGCCCTTTCTTGAATTCATTTGGGAAAAGTCAAGCATTACATGCAGCCCTCTTTGTTTGAATTGTTTTTTATGCTAAGTTGGCCTACTTTCCATCTTGAAACCTTGTTTTTTTTTCTTTCAGTGACTGGAATGAATCCCTTGTCCCCTTATTTAAATGTTGACCCAAGATATCTTATACAGGTGAGACCTCCACGATTGCTCTCTTGTGTATTGAGGTGTGCTTGCATGTGAATCAACATTCAAAAATGCCTTGTATTTGTGATTGTATAAATTACTTGATGTATAACATTGATGTGGTTTTGAATACGATTAAAATAGGTAACTGAAAATGTGGTACATAAAGACTCCGCAGTTAGGTGAGTGCAGTTTGTGGTCAGGAGCTGTGTTCTTTAATTCTCTGACTGGAGGACTTCTTGAAAACATCTGGCTGACTTCAGGTGAAAATATATTTCTCCCACAAAGTACTTGGGAATGTGTGAAAATAAAGTCAAGCAAGAAAACAAATGGATTACCCTGTCATGAATAAAACTACCGTAACATTTTAAATACGTCACACAAACCTGTGTAACCTAAGTTGTTACGGTGCAGATTTATTTCCACTCTTATTTGGATGTATTGCATTTTTCTTTCCCCAACTGCCAAATCAAAAGTTAACATAGCTGGGCCCGTTTTTTGAATTTGAAAAAAAATCAGATTTTTTTTCTTTGCTTTATATTATTTAAGAAGAAAATATTAGGCATACTCTTATAATCCATTTTTATTTTTTTCCTGTGGGTTTTTCCAGGCCTCCCCATCTATAGAAAAAGGCCCTAATCTCAGAGTTGGTGATTCTGAATATATTTTGTTCCTAAATTCCAGCGGTGGTCAGCTGTCTGTCAGAACTGTGTCTTTGACAGTGTTACACTGCTGGGAGAGAAAAGTACTGTGTGTTTAGCTGTCTGTCATTTTCTCTGTTCTGGAGGTAACTGACACCAGTGTTCACAGTATTGTGCTTTGCTGAGAGTGTGTTGAGCAGAAAATCTCCTGGTCGGCACTGGTCTGAAAGCATACACAGCTATGGGTCGGCATTAATTTCTGAAACAGAGTATTATGCAACCATGTTAGTACAGCTCATTACATCAGCCATGTCGATTGTAACTAATGCTGGATTAAGAATGTATTACAGTTTCTCGCTGGATGCTGGATAATGAAGATAACATTTATTTGTACTGTAGAAATACAATTGTTCCCTTTTGTAGGGCGCAGTAATAAGTAATTCAAAAGAAAATCGGGTAGACTCTTTTTCCCCTTCTATTTTATTTACTGGGTGGATGGACAATTAGCAGTTTCCATAAACACTCTAATAAAATGAGTATCATCTGCTTCTTTTCACGAAACTAAGGAAATCAAATGCAGCTATTGCTGAAAAGAAAATTAAAAACAAAGTCCTATGTCTACTTAAGTAAAATGGATGACCTCGATCATTTTGGTCCCCGTCTAAACTTGACCGCAAGAAATGTTAACCGCCTACAACATAATGTCCACCCACAGTAGTAAAAAATAACTATTAGTACTACGACCCAACTACAAACATAAGTCATCTTATATAGCTCTCTTTATTAGTCGGTTAACTTCAAAATTCCCTTTGGGCAGGTAAAGTGGGGGTGTATTAAAGGATGAAACCCCAGTTTGAGACTGAATGAATCCTCAAAAGAAGTAATACAAACCTGGTATTATTAAACAGGTTCAGAAAAAGGCAGTATATTAACAAGATGTTCCTTGCTCAGAATACAGAGTGAAATATTTTCCTGCAACTTTAACTCTGTTGATCGATGCTCAGGTCCAGGGGGAAGGCAGCTGTCTTAATTGATGCCATTTTCAACAGTGGTACATTATTGGAAGATACAAGTACTTCCTTGTGACCTGTGTCAATCACCATTTTGGAGACAATAGCAGTTTGAGACAGGGTTGGGCAAGAAATAAATATACCACTTTCAATGATTAAATTTTAATCTCTGTCACGAGGCTTCTTGAATGTCATGGCATTGAAGGCCCCAGATTGCACGCACAAACCTGTGCTTTTAAAAGAAATTTTAATTCCCACCCACCCCACCCCATTTGCTTGCAATATCTCAGTATGCTCCATCCCATGATTTAAAAATCCCTATCATATTATGTATATTGTATGCAACCCGTTCTTTTTTTAAATAAATATCTATATTTTTATTCATTTGGCTTTAGCAGTTCTGTAAGCAATTTAAAATTGTGGAAGATTGCTTGGAGGTGTTATTTTTTTACTGCACGTTAACGAAGCATATATTTTAGGGAGTCTCTGGCTGAGAATAATAATAGTGTTTTGGGTTACGGAAGGCTGAGAAAGGAATATTTAAGAGTGGAGCCAAGACAGGTTGAGAAAAGCCTTAATTCACTTCTCCATTACATGGCCATGATTTCCATTTCTATAACGTGACTAATAAAAGCATCAGCGTCATAGTATTGTTGGAGAACAATTGATTGGTTTTAAATACAAGTATGAGATTAATCAACTTTTTTTTACACATATTCTGTTTGATTTATCTGACCAGGAGCTGCTTTTGGGGCATTAAATGGCTTGAGACTGGGTTTAAAAGAGACACAAAACATGGCTTGGTCCAAACCTAGGAATGTACAGTAAGTATTTGATTTCATTAGAGGCCATTTATTTTCTTTCTTCTCTATTTTGAGAATGCAAAGCTATTCTTGATGTGCGACCGATGTGGGTATCATGTGTTTGCTTAATCTCTGATCCAGTTTGCTGGTTGTGTTATTGAGGCCCAGGATGTTGAAGCAAATTTAAGGTTATTGGAGCTGTATGTGAAAGAAGCCCGGGTATAAAATATGAATGATTCCCTAAATTATTTTGTTCCTGTGGGTTTTTCCAGGCCTCCCCATCTATAAAAAGGGTCCTAATCTCAGAGTTGATGATTCTGAATATATTTTGTTCCTAAATTCCAGCGGTGGTCAGCTGTCTGTCAGAACTGTGTCTTTGACAGTGTTACACTGCTGGGAGAGAAAAGTACTGTGTGTTTAGCTGTCTGTCATTTTCTCTGTTCTGGAGGTAACTGACACCAGTGTTCACAGTATTGTGCTTTGCTGAGAGTGTGTTGACCAGAAAACCTCCTGGTCAGCACTGGTCTGGAAAGCATACACAGCTATGTGTATCCAAAATGTATGCTTGCCTCATTCATGGATAAGTTGTTGAGGCAGGGCAGGTAGATGGAAGGGAAAGAGCTCAATCAATTCCTTTCCTGGTTTACATTCCTAAATTTAAACAATGAACTCCATGTATCATAGCAGTCAGCAGAGACATCACCCTGCCAACGAAAGTGCGTATAGTCAAGGCCATGGTTTCCCCAGTTGCAATGTATGGCTGTGAAAGTTGGACCATAAGAAAGGCTGAGCGCCAGAGAATGGAGGCCTTTGAACTCTGGTGCTGGAGAAGACTCCTGCGAGTCCCCTGGACTGCAAGGCGATCAAACCGGTCAGTCCTAGAGGAGATCCACCCCGACTGCTCTTTAGAAGGCCAGATCCTGAAGTTGAAACTCAAGTACTTTGGCCACCTAATGAGAAGGAAGGACTCCCTGGAGAAGAGCCTGATGCTGGGAAAGATGGAGGGCAATAGAAGAAGGGGACGACAGAGAATGAGGTGGCTGGATGGAGTCACTGAAGCAGGAGGCGTGAGCTTCAATGGACTCCAGAAGATGGTAGAGGACAGGAAGCCCTGGAGGAACGTCATCCATGGGGTCGCGATAGGTCGGACACGACTTCGCAACTAACAACAACAATGACCTATACCAGTGGCCTCCAACCTTTTGGGCACCAGGGACCAGTTCCTTGGACAGAGGTTTTTCTACGGACTGGAAGAAGTGGTTTTGCATACTGCCTGCTTCCCGCAGATGGGGCTTCCCTTGTTTGCGCGGCCCGGTTTCTGGCATGCCATGACCTATACAGCCCAGTAAATAACTTCACTTTTTAAAAAAAAATAGGTGTCATAACAATTTGAGGGCATTTTGGCTGGTTAATTAGTAATAATAGTTATTCTCTTGTAACCTTACGAGACGTCTATAACTATTGACAATCCCTTAGTTTAGATGTTTTGTTTGTTAGTTGGAAAATCCAAGCACTTTCCAAACGCCCTACAAGTCTGCATTTTGTTGTTGACATGTTTCCAACAGCTTTTTAAAATATATATATATATATCCAAATTTCTTTTTTCTGGATATAAAATATTTCGCAGTTGCGACTTGAGCCTGCTCTATGCCCCTAGTTGGGGGCGGCAAGGCAAGAGATACTGTAAAAAGAGTAAAACTGCAGTATGGCAGTTGAAAATGTCAAGGTGTTCACAATCAGACCGATCTGTCTGAACTCCCTATATATATATATGTGTGTATGTATGTATGTATGTATATATATATTAGATATTGCTTTGAGTGGGTGGTTCCTGGCGTTAAAATATTGAGCTTTCCGTAAAACTGAGGACGGAGGTGGATTTTTGTGGAAAGACTCAAGTCAGAATGGTGACCTGTAATTGTATCATTGTTCTTAGTTTATTTTGGAAAGGCAGTTGCTTTTAAATAGGCTAGAGTGGGCACGTTTTTGCATTTTCTGCTCAGATAAGTGGAACAAAAAGAGTGACTAATAAATAGGTGCTTCTGGTAGTCATTTCAGACTAAAAAAACGGTCAAATGAAAATGAAATGATTTGAACCAGCAGATGGTGCCAAACTTCAATTAGCCTTTGTGGATTTCTAGGAAGAGTAAAGGTCATTTCTTGCAATGTTGCTTCATTCTGCAAACTGGGATGGGTTGTGAGAAAATTTATGGAGGATTACAAGTTCCGGGAGAAGCAGGTAGGTAGAGAGTGGAGAGCACCATCAGAGAACCTCCTGTTGGAGAAGGCAGAAAAAGAAATCCAGGTGTCCTATATAGCAAGGAAGAGAGCATAGCCACAAGCTCATCACTTGGGTGACCTGCTAAGTTTTTAAAAAAAATTTCTGCATGTTCACTATTTTCATCACCATCAGCACCATTATTTGGGGGACGGGGGTGTCATGACATCTTAAAGTTTGTAAAATCCTGCCTTAAGCCAAATGGAAGCCATGTTCACCAGCAGGCTTGCCCTTCTATATGGATGCCCTAGCTCAGAGGTCACCAACTTTTCTTGGTTGGCGGACTGAAGGGGAAGCATGCGCGCGAGTAAAAACCGTGAACATAACACATGACGCAAACGGGGCGGGGCTGGTGCCCATGTGATAACTCACTAGCCCTGCCCTGTTCTTGCGCAGTGGCGTCCCATTTTTGCACTCCAAGGTGCAGCGTCCTGTTTTTGCACCCCGTGTCGCTAGCACGGGTGGGGCTGTGTGCGCAAACATGTGAGCACTGGCCAGCCTGCCCGGTGGCCACTAGGCCACGGCTCGCTACTGGGCCGCAGCCCACAGGTTGGGGACCCCTGCCCTAGCTTGGTAAAGTATTGCTACAACAGTGTGTCTCCTTTGTGTGATGTTTAAATTTACTGCCCTGTAGGCATATCAAAATGTCAGAATAGATTTCTTGGCGAGCTCATTTTCCAGCCTAGAAATGATGGATACAGGGACTTTACTCCTGTTCATTTCATATTAAGCCATAATGGTTTCGGTTTGAGTTCTGTCTGTCATTGTCTCAGCATGTGCTCACTGATGACCAAGAAGAAATATTTGATAATAAAATAGATGTGACCACTTCACTCTTCTGTTCTATAAAGTAGCTGGGAACAAAGATTTCTACCGGCCGAGTCCCTACAATGGTGGAAACTTAAGAGAGATTGTCTCTGTTGGGGACGCACTGCAAAGTAGTTGTATTACCTTTTGCTTACTCTCTAGCAGCTGGATCAAACAATGATCTAATTGCCATAACTTTCATTCCCAGGAGACTTTGTTATGGATTGCCTTATCTGGAAACATGATTCAGCCTCTCTCAAGAAGGAAGGCTAAATACATTTAACCAGCATGTTGACAGAGAAAAGCTTTAATAACATGTTGATGCCTAGTGCTTTTCTCCAGAATTGAAAAATTAGAAGCTAAAGAGGTTCTTAAGTAAGGATCTACTAGGAACCTGCCTTGTTTTTCACGTACACGATCGTTTTTTCTTGTCAGATATTCTTCAGGATCTTCTCTACTTGATTTAAACTGTTTATTGCTGAAAGAATTGCTGTTTGTATTGATTGTGCTGCAGTAAATGCTAATTATGGAAGCGATTGGGTAGTGCCAAATTGGATTTACACAAAAGTTCCAGATTTACTTGACAATGCCAGCTGCCTTAAAGGTAGCTAAACATGTTGGCAGTAAATCACTTTTACGCCATGGCTAATCCAGGCATTACAGAGGAAAATGACATGGAAATTTTTGTGTAACACACAGTTCCTTTTTCGTGGGAAGGGTTGGCCCATCCTTTAATTATCGTTGCCTAATGTAAAACAGGTTATATAAGATAGGGTGTTGGCAGACAATTGGCTGGCCTATTATTTGGGCACCACACTAAACATCTTGCTCCTTTTTCTTGAAGGGTTTTAAATATGGTGACACGGCAAGGAGCATTATGGGCAAACACTCTTGGATCTTTAGGTAAGTGCTTGTTTCGCAAGCTAAATCTACAAAACTCCCATTTTCCCCCCCAAAAAATAAATAATAATCTAGGATGTTAGAAGGAAATTTTAAGATCCAGCTGAACTGTACGACAAGTCCAGGAGCTCTTACCAGCCAACTGAATAGCACAATAGCATCCTTGGCTTATGACAGCAATCAGGACCAGAATTTCCATTGCTAAGCAAGGCGGTGTGAAATGGGTCGCATCCTATTGTACAACCTTTTCTGCTACGCTTATTAAGTGAATCGTGCAGTTCTTAAGTGAATGTTGCATTCCCCATTGACTTCGCTTGTTGGACGTCTAGCTGGGAAGATCGCAAATGGGGATTACATGACCTCAGGATGCTGCAGCTCTTGGCAACATCCCAGTTGCCAAGTGCCCAAATTTTGACCACGTGACCGCGAGGGGGGCTGCAACGGTCTTAAGTCCCTTTTTTCCCCAGTGCTGTTGCAACTTTGAAGAATCATAAATGGCTGTAAGCAGAGGAACTACTAGCACCCTGCTCTCAATCCCAATTCAAGGATTGAAGCTGTTGATCATTATGCTGCTTATTGAACATTTAGAGGGCCACCGTACCCTGGATCCTCCTATCTACGGGGCAGTTCTAGATTGCAACCCTGGAAAACAGGCCATAAGACTTGGGCTCAAAGGCAATTGGGTTCAGAGTGCAATCGGGCAGGTGATACATTAACAGATGCTTCCCAGCTGTGTTGGCTTTTCTTGTGTAATATTTCTCTGTGTTCCCGATCTTTTACCCTGACCTGCTTTTGCGCAAACAGTATGGACTCAGTGGGCTCATAGATCGCTGGACAGAGGCGAAGATGAAAAAAAAAATCCCTTTTTATGACTCACACTGGCTAACCTGCAGCTGCACATCCCCAGATCAGTCCTTACCATCTCATGAGCTTGATAAATATTTTGTTTCAAGATGCGAAAGCTAAAAAGAGACCGACTCTTCAGGTTTCTATCCCTTAAATCTGGGTTTGTGTACGTGCGTGGACAGTCTAACATGAATTGCAGTAGGAAGGGTTCCCTTGACAGTAGCAATAGCACTTAGACTTACACACCGCTTCAAACAGCCCTCTCTAAGCGGTTTACAGAGTCAGCCTCTTGCCCCCCCCCCAAACAATCTGGGTCCTCATTTGACCGACCTCGGTAGGATGGAAGGCTGAGTCAACCTTGAGTCGATGAGGATCAAACTCCTGGCAGTGGGCAGAGTCAGCCTGCAATACGGCACTCTAACCCCTGCGCCACCATAGACGGCAGCACCCACTGATCAGGTCTGCCCCGCGTGGGTCTGATCTGGTTGGATGAGGGGCCTCCACCACCAGCAGGACCCAAGCCCAACTTGAGTGCTTCTTTTGTAATCTGGTAACCTTGAGTTGTCTACTGCTATTAAAAATAGAGATATTTGTAAATGATAACTGCTTACGAGTGAGCGACAGGGATTCTAAGTCCTAACTGAGGCACGCCCGAGGTCTTCGGCACGCTGGGCACAGTTTTGCTTTCAGAGGGTGGAGGAAAAAACCTTTTGAATCTAATCCCACTTTCCAAAAACAGTTCTGCATAGCCCTTAAGGAAGATATGTCTGTCATTCCCCTTTGTGAGTCTGTGATCCTGTGCTTGTTCCCTTCCAAATCCAGAGCAATAGTTTCAAGAGAATGTTTGAAACAATTTGAGTTACCCATTCCTATATTTTGCTCCTGGTGGTGGTGAAGATGATGCTAAGCATGCAGGAACAGGGTGGTTGATCAAATCACAGGTAGTCCTTGACTTACAAGCATAGTTGGGCCAAAAATTTCTGTTTGCTAAGCGGGACATGTGTTAAGTGAGTTTTGCCCCATTTTACAACCTTCCTAAGTAAATCACTGCAGCTGTTAAGCGAGTAACATGGTTGTTTAAGTGAAACTAGTTTTTCCATTGACGTTGTTGGTCAGAAGGTTGCAAAAGGGGAATCTCATGACCCCAGAACATAAAATATGAGTCCATTGCCAGACGTCTGAATTTTGATCCCGGGACCCACGGGGATGCCGCAACGGTTACAAGAACGGTCCTAAGTCACGTTTTCTGTGCTGCTGTAACTTCAGACAGTCACTCAACGAACCTTTGTTAAGTCAAGGACGACCCGGACAAAGGCAGCAACCCTCCCTGCAGCTCAAGCCAGGGCCTGCCATCCGTTGAGCTGAAATCCTGAAGGAGCTGAAATCCTGAAGGGAGCTGAAATCCTGAAGGGAGTGCTGCTCCAGTTTCATTCATGAGATCTTGTGAGAAGGGTGGGATATTTTTGTGTTCCCCAGGTTAGACATGTCCTTTTTTTAAGCCAGCCTTAAAGGGGGAGGGGGGGAGAGGAAAAACACTGATGCTGAAAAAAGGGCTGACACTCTGTGGCTGTGTCCTCCTTCTTGGACGGGCATTTTAACGTCTCCTTTATCGATTTTAATTTCCTCCCAGCGCTGCTGTACAGTGCCTTTGGCGTCATCATTGAAAAGACACGAGGGGCAGAAGACGATCTGAACACGGTGGCAGCCGGGACCATGACAGGGATGTTGTATAAAAGTACAGGTATGGGAGCAAAAGGACTTCTGTCTCCTGCTGGTTTTGAGCATACAGGTTCGTCCTCGGCTCACTAAACCAGGGGTCTCAAACTCAATTTCATTGAGGGCCGCATCAGCATTGCAGTTGCCCTCGGGGGGGGGTGACCAGGGTGGGTGCAGCCTAATGGGTGGGCGTGGATGGAGTGGGTGTGGCCTACTGAGTGGCCGTGGCCAGCTCTACATCGTTCGTGTCAAGGGTGCCTGTGGGGGCCTGGGCAGGAGTGGGACAGATCGGAGGGTCTCTGGCAGAAGGGGGTGGGACCAGGGCAGAGCCCATCAAGCCGGATATGTGAAGTAGGTGAGGGCCATTTGCTGGCCACTTCCAGGAGATGGTCCATGTCTTCATTCCTCACAAAGGATGACACCTCCCCAGCATGCACCCAGGGGGCGGGGGCGACACGGCGGGGACTGGTTCCTCGCTGTTTCCGGACGGTCTTGTGGAGCTAAGACTGAATGTGTTTCAGCATAGATGGCCACCACAAAATTGTACATTGGCTCCCGGCTGGCCTGGGCCAAGGCCAAGGCAGTGGGGGCCGTTCCCTCACTGTTTCCAAGATGGCTTCGCGGGCCACATGAAACCACGGGCCACATTCGGCCCCTTGTGTTTGACATGTCTGCACTAAACGAACGGTCACTAAATGAACTCTTGTAAGTGAAGGACTGCCTATAATAGTTGGATAAGACTATTGACTGCACCGGGCACTGTTCTTTATTCCTTCTCTTGTGATTGATAAGGAGTCTTCGTTATCACATTGTCAGGTGGCTAAAATCCACCTTACCTTTGAACCTGCTGACTGCCCAATAAAGGTTTTCCTGCAAGATCCTCCCAAGAAGAAGGAGAACAAAAAAACAGGGAAATCAGCTGTTAATTTGGTTTACAGACTTCCCCACTTTGAAGGGGGGGGGGGAAACCAATCTACCTTTTTATTTGCCTGAACTTCTGCCTAGTACAGCTTGAATCGCCCCCTCTTCCCCTTCAGCCTTAGTCAGACATTATTGGAGGCAATAAAGCTACTGCTTCTGTTTGCTTAAAGATAAAGCTAACATTAAATCTTAAAAGGCAGCTTTATTTTACCTGTCCTCAAGAGCGACACCGGATACTGGCCACCTCCTAACCATGTTCATTAGATTAAAACATTGCCTCTGTGTCTGCAAACTGTCACTTAAGGGGTTGTTGGAAACAAAGTTATCATCAGTGTTAAGCATCCGGATAATATACGGGTAGCCCTCAACGCCCCAAATTTAGGTTGCTAAATGAGTTTTGCCCCATTTTACGACTGTTCTTGTCACCGTTGCTGCAAAGTGGCTAATTTAGTCACACAGTTGTAAAGTCAGTCTGTCTTCCCCCAAAGCCAATCTTGGCTTTGCTAGTCAGAAGGTTGCCAAATCTGGTCACATGACCCCCAGGACACGGCAACTGTCATAAGTATGAGTCGGCTTCCACGCGTCTGAATTTTGATCACATGACCGTGGGGAGCCTGCGACGGTCGTATGAAAAACGGTCCTAAGTCACCTTTTTCAGTGCAGTTGTAACTTTGAGCGGTCCCTAAATGACCTCTTGTAAGTCAAGGACTACTTGCATATGTACAATCAGGAGACAATATGTTAGTTTTGGGTTCGTTTTGACAACATCTAGAGTTATTTCGGTAATCAGTCAGTTGCCGGTCCAGTAAAGCCTTGTTTTATCTTGTATTTATGAAAAGGGACTCTTGGATTTAATCTGCTTGGGGGGGCTCTTAACACGAGGCAGGACATTTTGTTTCTACGAGTGGAAGACTTGCTTTATATCCCGGAGAAGACATTTTCCTTCTTCTTTGGGCCTCCTTCCCAGTGGTAGTCAGCTGTCTTGATCACTTCCATGTCTTTGATAGTGTTACACCGCTGGAAGATAAAAGGATTGCCTCGGGGTCTGACAGTCCCCATCTCCGTTCTGGAGACGGTCGACACAGCCTCTGCAGTACTATGCTTCCTTGAAAATGTGCTGAGCGAAACAGACCGGATCAGCACGGGTTTTGGAAGCATACACACATCATGTTACTCCGGTATAAGGCACGTGCCTTTGATTGATTAAGAGAAGGCGCCAATGTCAATTAAGATACTTTCAATTTGTAATGTTTTCTAGAGGTTAAAAATGTAGCAAATGTACAGTTGTTGTGTATTTTAAATTATGTGATACCTTGTCCTGTTCAGCTTAACAGAACTTCATTCAAAGGGCCACTGGATGCAACAGACCAAATTTCTTTCTGGACCCCCCCTTGAAACAAGAGGCAATACATACCATGCGTAGAGTAGCGTAAAACAACGCAGAATATTTAAATTTTTGTAATAGGGTCGTCACGTAAACAACCTATAGTGTGGTCTATACATGACATACTTTTACATTTAACAGACCATCTGGAATAACGGATTTCACCCTTTCCCCAATGAGTGTTGTTTCAAAGCAGCTCTATGATCACCTTGGTTTTTGTTTAGAGGTTTGACTTGTCATAGCGGGGAGCTTAAAAATTGCCTGAGGAAAATGCCTGTACAATAATGGGAGTTTGTAAAATCCCAGGCGGTAGTCGCCCCTAGGAGTTAGTACCACCCGGATACTTGTTAAGACACGCAAGCAGGCGCATTATTTCGTGGAATGATGTGTGTTTTTGTTCGCCTCAAAGCATGTTTTGCAACGCATGTCACGTTGACCTAGTTTATCGCAGCTGGCTTATGCTTCAAAGGCACTTTGGGAATGGGTCGTGTCCCGGTGTTTCGGAATCGAAGCATTGGGCTGCCGATGGCCCTAACAGGTGTGCACTCTAAATCGCGGTCTTAGGAATAGCACAGAAATATTAGCAGCCATGTGTTTGGTTATACCAGCAATGGCTCCTGAAGAACTCTTTGGACACTTGACACTCTTAAGTGACCATCAGACCATCATATATCCCCCTAGATTCTGGATCCTAAGGATGATACCTTGGCCGGTCCAGCACACTCTCCCGGCCTCTCCTTATTTTATTTCTTTTAAAGGGGGAAGCGTAATGGCGGCCTCCAGTCACTTGGACTTGGGACAGCCTGTATAAATTGAGTCAGGCAGCTTCTCCATTGCTGGGATCTGAGGCCCACAGTAAGGAAAGTGAAAGCTTCTGTGCATTTCATCATTTCACTCTATATATCATCACTTCTTTAGAACACCTGCATAAATAGGCGTGGCTCGCCCTTCTTGCCAAGAGGTAGAAAACTGAGTCCGCAAGAAGGGCGGGATATAAATTCAAACAATAAATAAATAAATAAACTCACATATGCCACACAGGCAGGCAGATTATTATTCCTGTCCCTGCAGAATGCAGACAGGTAGACTCTACAGCAGGGGTAGTCAACCTTGGCTCTTTTATGACGCGTGGACTTCAACTCTCAGAATTCCTGAGCCAGCCATGCTGAGGGGAAAGGGAGAGGTTTCCAAGCTGAGCCATGCTGGCTCAGGAATTCTGGGAGTTGAAGTCCACGCGTCATAAAAGAGCCAAGGTTTGACTACCCCTGCTCTGCAGCATGCAAACTTGGCAACTTAAAAAAAAGACTTGTGCCCGGGGGAGTTGAAGTCCACAAGTCTTGGAAGTTGCCCCGTTCGGAGACCCCCTGCTCCACAGTTTTCCAGATCTTCTGATTTGAGTAGCAGCTGCAGCAAGACACACATTTGTGCTTCTGCTGGTCAGGAGTCACGCATTCTCACTGACACAGCTAACCCCAGACAGTGTCATTTATTCATGGTTCTGCCTTTCTTCTTCATTGCTACCTGCGTACAAGTCAGCGGTGGCATTCCACTTGCAGGACCGCGTTCCGGAGAGACCTTTGTTGTTGTTAGTTGCGAAGTCGTGTCCAACCCATCGCGACCCCATGGACCACATTCCTCCAGGCCTTCCTGTCCTCTACCATCTTCTGGAGTCCATTTAAGCTCACGCCTCCTGCTTCAGGGACTCCCTCCAGCCACCTCCTTCTCTGTCATCCCCTTCTTCTCTTGCCCTCCATCTTGCCCAGCATTAGGCTCTTCTCCAGGGAGTCCTTCCTTCTCATTAGGTGGCCAAAGTATTTGAGTTTCAACTTCAGGATCTTACTAGCTGGGAAGAAAAATCCTATTTTCAGATAATTGCTGTCAGGGTAAACCAATTTTTTTTTTTTATTAAGTTTGCGTACGTGTGCAAGAGAGATGACGACGAACGCCCCCTTTGTGAGGCTCTGGGGAGTTGACAGCTAATCTTGCCCAACCAGAATGCTGATTGCAGGGGTGGAGAACTGCTGAAGCCTATCGCTTAGTAGGCAGAAGTGGAAAAAAAAGAAGGGTAAAAAGTCAGGAGTGGCATCTGGAAATCCCCAACCCACCAACTCAGTTTAGCCAAAATTAAGAGACTTTAATTAGAGACTTTCAGAGCAAAATCAGACACCCTACGTAGCTTGTGTGGCTGTGGATCTTCGCTTAATTCCTGGGTGTTTTAGGTCTCAGGATATTGAGGAACATCAAAAAAGAAGTTTCACGCTGTATAAACAGCTGTTTTTTTTTTCTCTAATATCGTGGTTCAACTTTTTCTGCTCTTTGTTTTCCTGGAAAGGCACTTTATTGCCCACTCCCTTCAGATTCTAACTCTCCTTAAACTGGGTGAAATTTTTTAATTATGTTTGATGTGAAAACAGATGATGTACTTCCTGCCTCTTCCTGCTTCAAAGTGACCTTGATTATGCCCGCCGTAGGTCCTGACACGCGTTGTTCCTGTTACGTCCTATTTTATTTTCATTATTTATGGATCGAATTTATTTGCCCACCCATCTTGTAGTAAACGACTCTGGGCAGCTTTTTTTAAATTACAGCAATAGTGTCCTATGCAAGGAATCCCCATCCCCAACTTTTTATAGGTTTGTTGACACTCTTCAGTTATAATTTAGATGATTAAAGGTCAGTGTTTTTAACGATGCATAATCTGCAGATGGGAATCCACTAACTGGGGGGCGAGCTCCTGAACTCACGTCCGCCTTTCCCATAAACCAGAGGTAGGCAACCTTGGCTCTTTTATGACTTCAACTCCCAGAATTCCTGAGCCAGCCACGCTGAGGGGGAAAGGGAGAGGTTTCCAAGCTGAGCCACGCCGACTCAGGAATTCTGGGAGTTGAAGTCCACGAGTCATCAAAGAGCCAAGGTGGCCTACCCCTGCCCATAGACCAACTAGAGCTTTGCTAATAGAGCTTAAAGTGCTAAAATTAGATTTTCAAAATCGGCATTGTAAGTGTGTTTAAAAAAAAATAAAGTTTTTTTCTTTGGTGGAGCCAGATTATGGCCACAAGTTTCTCAGCTGATTTGGAAGAGAGAAATTTAAGAGTTCAAAGGGTGTAACAAGAGGAAACTGTTTGTCTTATATATACTGGGAAGTCCCCACCAGTCTTCTTGTATAGACTTTACAGATGTGCCCGTGTGCCTTGCGTGGGTGAAGGTCCGCCATTGGCACCTACCAATGCTGGCCGATGTCTTATTTACTGACGCTTCGTTTCCTCACAGGTGGATTGCGTGGGGTAGCCAGAGGTGGCATCGCAGGACTCATGCTGACAGGCCTCTACTCGCTGTACAACAACTGGGAGCACATGAGGGGCTCCATGCAACGGCAGTCCCTTTGAGCGGAGCGGCGGAGGAGGATGCCTCTATCCGTGCAACGCAATCGGACTGGACCCCCCCTTCGTTATAGTACCCAGCGGACACACAACACACACACACACACACACACCACTCAAGACCACCGGTTCTCGCGGCAACGGTGGGGCTCTTGAGCATTCCGCATCCTTCAGGGCCACGGGTGGCGAAGAGCGCCATTTTACCTGCAGAAATGAAGATCTCGTCTCCATAAGCATGTTTGTACGCCGAGGCCATTGCTTGATTTGACTGTAATAAAATGTATGTGCTGAAAAACGTTAAGTTTTTAAGAGCTGCCCACCGACGACGGCCTGAGCTTAGCAGAGCACCAGGGATTGGCGTTCAAGGTAGGTAGCGAAGCCCTCCCTCGGAGCAAGGGAGACGGCGCGGTAGCAGTGCATCGCACAAAACTGGGAGGTGTGTTGATGGCACTTTTCCTTTTACTAAAATGCTTGCAGTCACACCTAGCGTCCTTTCACGGATAAACTTTCTGGGTGCCGAGCTGAAAAATAGTATCGTTCTGTTCGTTTTTGACAATCCTTAAGTAATGAACCCAAATGTTGCAGTGCATGTTTTAAGGACAAATGTTTGACTCAAGAAAGGATGATTAAGTCGGTTTCTAGAGCATATATAGAGAGAGGTTTTATGATTTCTGTGAACTAAAGTTCTTTCAAAATGGGTTGGAAATGCCTGGCCCTCCCTTCCCCACCTCCCCCCGCTTACATTGTAGATTTCTCTTCTTGTGGCTTTTGGCCTGGCCTCCTAAAGCAATCCCAAAAAGCTGTGTTCTATTGTTGAGCATTACAGTTATGAATAATAACTTCCAGCGTTACCCTTTGTTGATAAGCTTGTGCAGAAAAGCACAACGAAGAGCCCCAGGGCAGCAGCAACCACTGTACTCGCTCTGGTTTTGCAAGGCAGCGTCCATCACCATGAAACTGTCATGGCCACAAATGGCTGGCTATCATTGGTGGTGTTAAGCAGTTAGTATCGTGGTTGCAGATCGCCCTGGAAGATTGAGAAAACAACGGAATGCAACAATGATAACAAAACTATTATATGGTCACCAAGAGTCAAGGCTGGCTTGCTGGTCCCGAGCACATTCCAGTTTTGTAAGGCGAGCCAAACAAAACCTTGAATATAATTTTGCAGTTATCCGTGAGCAGCAGATAAAATTGTATAAAAAGGTCAAGTCTGGCACCACAAACATTTTAATGCTTATCTAAGCACAGGTCACTGTTGCAGTTTGGTGAACATTAGAGGATCTGATTCAGTCTGTGACATGAGACAGTTTGGGGGTGGGTCTTAGGTGTTTCTTATATTTCAAACAAGCCATGAATGGAGGCATACACGTATATATATATATATACTGTGTGTCCCAGGACAATGATGCAAAGTCGAATCTGGGTCTGTCAACTCTTCCGAGCTTCTGAATTCATATGTGAGCCAACAGGAAGCCCCACATAAACCCAACTCGCGGAGTAGCACATATTCCAGTAAAGATAAGTTCCATGGGCCCCCAACATGAGTCCAAAAGCTTGGAACAGTAAATCTCTGGTCCTGGAACAGACCCAGATTCGACCTTGCATTAATCCAGTCCTATTAACAGAAAAGAACAACTTCAGACAAATATACTTTTTATTCACAATGGTTTAATGGCATACTTCATTAGCATCACAAACGTTGGATTAATGTAAAAGAAAGCAGGGGTTTAATTGCATTACACATCAGTTAGGTATTACATATACCCCTCTCAGGAACCTGAGCAGATAACTTTGTTAAAGCCCTGGAAGGCAAATATGTCAAATGAGTGAATTTAACAGAGAACGCAGTGGTAATTCCTTTGACAGGTAGCCATTGAATACCGGAAGGCCTATACCTATAAAAGACCTAGCAATTAAAAAGTGTACCTGTGCTAAGCCAAGAGCACAATTTTCATTTATTTTTTTTTAATTTTAAAACGTTAGCGTCACAGCTTTTCAAAAGTTGTCCCCACGAATTGTGGAAACAAGTAAAGAGTGGTATTAAAGTTCAGCATTAAAGTTTCTAAGGCTACTTTCAAACTTGTCGCAATTCATAGTGTGAGAGAAATAAAAAAATTTAATTGTTTTTTTTGTTCTGCAGTACAAAGGACACAACTCGTCCTTAGTACTTAGGGCTTTAAAGCCGCACAACATTTCGTCCGCGCTGTGCTCAATTTTGCCCCCCTTCCCATCCTAGTTACCTTAACCAGGATTATCACCAAAGTTGCCCGGTGCCCATGCCAATCTGTATGACATGACTTCATCATTCAGGTGAGAAGAGTGCATATACATACACAGAACACACAATTCGGAAGTGTCTTAATGGCTTCCTAAGAGCTGCATCTCTTGAAGAGGCTCCGTAAATCTATTTAAAATTAGGAGCTGGAAAGGAGGACCAATGGTGTGTTCTGGATAAAAAATTTTGCCTCTTCCCCATCTCCCACCCCAGCTAAATTCCTATCAGAATTTATTTCCAAATACTGGCTTTTACATTTTAACGCTTTCACGAGACGAGTCCCAACAGCGTCACAGACCCCAGAGAACCCAACAAAGGGCGCTTCTGTTTTGAGGACTCCGAGGTCCATTTTCCGCAACCCAACCCCCAGCTACATACAAGCTTTTAAAGTGACATTCGAAATCTGGAAAAGACAAGATGGTCCAAAAAAAAAAAAACACAGGAGAAGCGACAAGGCTGCAGTCAACTCATTCCAGGTGTGCGATGATCAGCAGGAAATCAAAGCCATCGTTTGGATCGCGCTGCAGGTTTTTTGTTTTCTTTTTTTTTTTTCACATCTAGGAAACATAAGCCCAGAAATCGGGGATATTAAAACAAAAGACGGCGCTAAATCGGGGTCGACCACTTGAGAATATTTCAAAAGTGCAAGGGCTGCAGAGGTTCAGGAAAAGATTTATCTTATCGTGCTTAGCCCTGCCTTCACCGTGCCTTGTGTGCAATCTGAACTCTTAGCTCAACTCCGGTGAGAATCGGTACCCTTTTGTGGGGAAGCATCCTTCCTCTGTTAATAATAATAACAACTTTATTGTCACTTTGAAAGTACACCAATCGGCATACATCAAAATGAAATTTTGTTGCATACAGCTCTCAAAGAGTCACCACCTCCGATATACACTCCTTGTTCGTGGCCAGCTCAAGTTTCAGATCCTCCATTTTAGTCTGTAGGGAGCGAACGATGTGCGAGAACGATGGCAAACAGGACGGGTGGAAACGGAGCTCCATGTGGGATTAGCCCTCAAATTAGCTTGTATTCCTGCACGACAACCTCGCCTCCTTTCCTTTTTCTGGTCTTGTCTCTTCCACCTTTTCCTTAAAGAGGCCTTGTTCCTTTTTGCCCCTGGAGCACACTGCCACCACCACCAACTCCTCCAAAAGCCTCTTTCCCATCCTCTGGGCCTGCCGACAGCCTCATCCAGTTAACCGAACGTTGCAAACAGATCCTTGTGAACCATCTAGAGCAGCGGTTCTCAACCTATGGGTCGCGATCGACCATTTCACGGGGGTCGCCAAGCAAGGCTGTCCGCCATTTTTTTTCCCCTTTTCCAGCGGGTGCCTTACCTCCCTTGAGCTGGGCCAGCTGGTGGTCGGCCTGCTCCGTCTCTGCCGCTTGCCAGCTACGCCTCAGCCGGCGCAGGGGGCGGAACCACGCATGCGCGGCGCTCCCGGGCAGGGAAAGTCCTTGACTTACGACCGGTTGGGTAGTCCTCGACTTACGACCGGTTTAGCCCTCGACTTACGACCGGTTGGGGTCGCAGCATTAAAAAGGTTGAGAACCACTGATCTAGAGTGGGTGGGCAACCTTGGCTCTTTTATGGCTCATGGACTTCAACTCCCAGAATTCCTGAGCCAGCCATGCTGAGGGGGAGAGGTTTCCAAGCTGAGCCAAGGTTGCCTACCCCTGATCTAGAGAGAACTCTCCATGACCAACCATGGGATGCAGCTGCTGGTTTCCAGTTAGAGAGTTTTCGTGCTTCCCAAAACTACCACACGGTTGGAACTACAGCTGTAAGACCCCAGGCATATCAAGCCTGATTTGGTCAAACAGCCTTTGATTAGGTTCACACATCCTTTCCAAGACCCAAAAGAAGCAGGCTTGTTGAATTAGCCGTCTTCTCAGAAAGATAGAGGCTCGCACTTCACCCAGATGTTAAAAATAAGTCGGAGCGTTTTTCAACATCTCTTGCATCTTTCCGTCAAGAGATGTCAACGAGATAAGAACTGGATTGCTAACAGGCTAATTAAGCAGAAAGCTTAGTTCTAAGCCTACAATAGTTAATGGACATCTGACCAATCTTGATGTTCTCCAAAAGCTGATTGGGCTAGGCCCAGTTCATCTCATGCTGGAAGGCTAAAATGAGATGTTAATAAGACTTAAGGAGTCAAGTCAAGCCAAGAACCGACAACGCAACTGGGTGGACTTCCATTTTACGGAAAGGCTTTTACCTGTAAAGGCGTCTGGTACAGCCACTTTTCTTTATCTCCACTCAGATTCATACAGGCAAAGAGGTCACAAACGGCGGGAAGGCCACTCTCCTGTAAGAAACGGGATTGATTTCTGCGAGATTAGCAAATTTATTTGGAAATACAAGACTTTTGAGATGGGTCAACGGCAGGACGCCAACGTTGGCGCGTGAACCACCTCTCCGGAGAACTCTTACATCCCCAAGTCTTCTTCAGTCTTGGCAACTGGAAGACTTGTGGACTTCAACTCCCAGAATTCCTCAGCTAGCATGTCTTCCAGTTGTCAAGTCTGGAGAGCCTTGGGTTATATATATATTAAACCCACAGAAGACTTTCAGCGGGTGGAAGTGACCGGATGAGAACTCTACTTACGTATGCTTTCTTCCGTAGTAGCCATTTATCTTCTACGAGAGGCTGGCTGGAGATGTCTGCGCTCTTTGACGACAAGATCCAGCTGTTTATGTTGAAAGGGAGGTGGAAGGGCGCGAGCAGCTCCAGGAGGGTCCCCTTATGGCTTACTTCGGCCTCCTCTCGGATGGCCTTCTCTTCGCCACCGTGGGAAGCGTTGACTTCTCGCTTGGCTAGCCAAGAGGACAACGAGCTTTCCAGCAATTCTTTCAGAGGTTCTGCCCCCTCCCGGACAACGTCCTGCTTTACAGCAGAGCTAGCCCAATCCGCCTCCGCCGGCCGAGAAGGATGGAGCCAGATGTTCCCCATGGGCTGACGTTCCTCGGGTTCCGAGACCTCCCCAATCGGCATGCCGTTCTTATCCTTGCCTTCTTTCCTCAGAAGCCATTTGCACAGGGCTTCCTTTTCACAGTTCTGGTCACACACGCACTCGGAGAAGCTGGAGCACGGCTCGTTGGCTCTGCATAGATCCTCCACGTTGAAAGCGGGTGGCAGCAGCCAGCTGTCGGCGTTCAGCGGCTTCCTCACCTCAAGGTGCTCGCTAAGGCATTTGAGATTGCCCAGGTTTTCTATCTCCACGCCGCTGGCTTGGCCGCCGCAACAGTGATTGCAAGAATCAGGTTTAGACAGCCAATCGTTGGGGTTATAATCTTCCCGGAAAGGCTTAAAAACCCAACTCCACTTCTCATCGGAGGCGTTCCTGTTCTCGGGCTCGGAAGACACCAGAAGCCATTCGGAAAGATCGGCGTCGTCTTGCTCGAAGAACTCCAGCTCGTCGATCTTCTCGATGGACAAGGTGGAAGCGATGGTGGAAGTGGAGCTCTTCCGTCGGCGGAGGTCCGCCCTCTCCGGGAGGTCCCGCTGCTGGTTCTGCAAAAGCCAGTTCTCCAAGCTTCTCAGGTTCCCCCATGCTTTCTCCAAATAACACACTTCTGGAGGCTTTAAATCCTAAGAAGACGACACCGCAAATGTTTAGAGTCATCGGTGAAGCATGCAGGATTGCAGGCTAACTCTGCCCACGGCTGAGAGTTCAATCCTGACCAGCTCAAAGTTGACCCAGCCTTCCACCCTTCCGAGGTCGGTAAAATGAGGACCCAGGTTGTTGGGGGCAAATCGGCAAATAATGCTTCCACATTATGAACCGCCTAGAGAGGGGCTGTAAAGCACTATGAAGCGGTATATACAGTAGTGGCCAAAATTGTGGAAACCTTTTTGGAAAAGTGTACAGTAGAAATGCCACCTTTGGTTAAGTTTCCACCCATTTTTCCTCTAATGTCTTTATAACTGTAGCCTTGTTCACTTCATAACACTATTTTACATCGCTTTCTGGGCAACCAGTCAATTCGTTGCCACCATGACTTTAATTTTATGATGTTTTACAAGCTCACTCAATGAAAGAACACATAAAAACCCAACCAACTTGATAGCCATCACATAACACACTGACCAATGTCCTCCTCTCAGCTTCAATACAGGACATCAATGACTGAATCCTACTGTGATCTGATTGGCTCATGGCCAAACCAAGATGACACCCGATTGGCTCTCTAAACACTCACGCTCATTGGCTACCATCAGATGAAGGAAAGCTACCCGATATCAACCTAAGCAAGTTGTGCTTCCTTTTTCTGGTTCTTTGGCTATAACTTTTCATAGAATACAGTACAGATAATTGAACAAACTATGTTGCATTACATTCCTGATTAAATTATCTTTCCATTGATATATAATTTTATGATACTACTCCAAAAAAAGGGAGTGTTATTAGCCATCAAACCTCAAAAATACACTTTTCCCAAAAGGTGTCCACGATTTTGGCCACTACTGTAAGTCTAAGCGCTCTTGCTATTTCTTGGGAAAAGAACAGCAAGATTATAATTCCCTTCTCACTCTCAATGTTCCAAGAACAGCCTTTTTGGATCCACTGGTTCCACTACTTTTGGAAGACTGACTGACTGACTGACTGACTGACTGACTGACTGACTGACTGACTGACTGATTAGCCAGCGATCTCATCCTGAGAGCCTACAATCCTAACAACAGGAGGAAACCCCCAATATTTAACGGCATCAGCATTTCTTGGAAAATAAATCATTTGGCTATGTAATCTTCTTCTCAACCTCTCTGGTCTATCTTTTCCAATATTATTAGAATACTAGCTGTACCCGGCCACGCGTTGCTGTGGCTCAGTCTGGTTAAATGGAAAAGAAAGAAAAGAGAAAGCGCATGTTTGTGTCACAGGTGTGACATCTATATAATAGTAGGTATATAAAAACGCGCGTATTCGAATGCAACGTTGTGTCAAAATTTCAAAGCAATCGGTGAAGAACTTTCGGAGATTTAAGATTTTGAACTAACGAACATTTACATTTTTATTTATATAGGTAATAGAAGATTATCCTTCTCTGTACACGTAGACAGTAGATAACAATACCTGATTGGCCTCCCCAGCATGGGTTTTCAAGAGCCAGTCCTCCTGCTTGTAGCTAGGAACATAAGGGGTATAGCGCACGCCATCGGATTTGGTTCCAAGAAGCCAGTCGGAGAGAGGGCAGCCCAGCACTCCACGGAAAGGTTTGGGCTAATAATCAAGAACAAATTTAGGGAGAGTTTTAATCCCGGACAAAATCCACCATGGGAATATACACACTCTCTTCCCCCCCCCCAAGGATAGATAACAAGTATCCTGGAGCCCTGTTGAGGAGGAGGAGAATGTCCTGGTGTTTGTGCCACCGAAAATTTCTGGATTTTAGAATATTTCTTCCTTTCCACTTGAATTCTGAACCACCAGCAGCCTACTTGGGCACCCACTCTATTTTAAATTATTTTCCCATAGATCAAATGTATATTCTCTTGTGGGGATCAATTAATCTCTCTTCCTGGGACATTCTGCATTTTTTTTAAATTTATTGATTTATATCCCACCTTTTGTTCTCTCATCAGTAACTCATATAACATATCCCCCTTCTATTTTCCCCCAAAAAATCACCATGGGAGATGAGTTGGGCTCAAGTCAACCAGCTGGCTTTCATAGTTAAGGCAGGACTTGAACTCATGATCTATCAAGAGCCACGATAGTAGTGCAGTGATTAGAATGCAGTATTATGGGCTAATTCTGCCGACTGCCAGCAGTTCGATTCGGACCAGCTCGAGGTCAACTCAGCCTCGCAGCAAAATGAGGACCCCAAGTGTTGACTCCATAAGCTGCTTAGAGAGAGGTGTAAAGCACCATGAAGCGGTATATAAGTCTTAAGTGGTATTACTAAGTGCTATTTTCTAGCCTGGGACCTTATCCACTAGACCAGGGGTAGGCAACCTTGGCTCTTTTATGACTCGTGGACTTCAACTCCCAGAATTCCTGAGCCAGCCATGCTGAGGGGAAAGGGAGAGGTTTCCAAGCTGAGCCAGGCTGGCTCAGGAATTCTGGGAGTTGAAGTCCCCAAGTCATGAAGGGGCCATAGTTCCCCCATGCTGGCTCAGGAATTCTGGGAGTTGAAGTCCACAAGTCATCAAAGAGCCAAGGTTGCCTACCCCTGCACTAGACCTGACATTCCTAGCTAATAGCAAGAGAAGACTAAGTTTAAAAACTCCGCTGCTGCCCTTGAATTTCAGTTTCTCTAAACGAATCTCTAATTCACCTTTTCCAAACTAGCCATCACGGGACAGTTCTGCACAGAGATCCAAGGGGCGTAATCCTCTTTATCGGAAGTTTGCTATTAAAGAAAGAAAGAAAGAAAAACCAGAGGTAATAAGTTTCCACCCATTTTTCTTCTAATTTCTTTATAACTGTAGCCTTGTTCACTTAATAATACTATTTTACATCGCTTTCTGGGCAACCAGTCAGCTCTTTGCATCATGACTTTAATTTTATCACATTTTACAAGCTCACTCAATGAAAGAACACAAAAAAGCCCCACCACCGATAGCTATCACACAACACACTGACAAATGTCCTCCTCTCAGCTTCAATACAGGACATCAATCACTGGATCCTACTGTGATCTGATTGGCTCACGGCCAAAACAAGATGACACCTGATTGGCTCTCTAAACGCTCGTGCTCATTGGCTACCATCGGATGAAGGAAAGCTACCTGAGATCAACCTAAGCAAGTTGTGCTTCCTTTTTCTGGTTATTTGGCTGTAACTTTTCATAGAATACAGTACAGATAATTGAACAAACCATGTTGCATTACATTCTTGATTAAATTATCTTTCCACTGATATATAATTTTATGGTACTACTCCCAAAAAAAGGGGGTGTTATTAGCCATCAAACCTCAAAAATACACTTTTCCCAAAAGGTTTCCACAATTTTGGCCACTACTGTACATTAGAATACAGCTCTTTTTACTCACCATTGTTCTAATGGAGCCAAAGGAGGTGATTGCCTGGCGAAGAAATGCCACGTCAGCCTCAAAATTCAGGATGGACGTTTCTTCAGGCTGGAGAGTCAAACTGCCAAGACTTAGGGGAGAAGACAAAAGTTAAGAATTCAGAAACAAACAAAGGTGACAAGTCGTGTTTTTTTTCAAACAAAACAAAAAGTCATCTCATTTTTATGCACAAAATACATGTATCTTCTGAAGGGAGGTTAAATCTTCAAATGCCCATTCCTGTTTCCACCCACAGAGGTGGCAAGATTTCCAAAGTTAATGATAATAAAGTTGGAAGGGATCTTGGAGGTCAGCTAGTCCAACCCCCTGCTCAGGCAGGAAACCCTATACCATTTCAGACAAATGGCTGTCCAGTCTCTTCTTAAAAACGTCCAGTGTTGGAGCATTCACCGCTTCTGGAGGCAGGTTGTTCCACTGGTTAATTGTTCTAGCTGTCAGGAAGTTTCTCCTTAGTTCTAGGTTGCTTCTCTCCTTGATTAGTTTCCATCCGTTGCTTCTTGTTCTGCCTTCAGGGGCTTTGGAGGATAGCTTGACTCCTTCTTCTTTGGGGTAGCCCCTGAGATACTGGAACACTATCATGTCTCCCCTTCTCTTCGTTAAACTAGACATTCCCAATTCCAGCGGCCGTTCCTTATATGTTTTAGCCTCCAGTCCCCTAATCATCTTTGTTGCTCTTCTCTGCACTCTTTCTAGAGTCTCAGCATCTTTTTTACATCGTGGTGACCAAAACTGGATGCAATATTTCAAGTGTGGCCTTACCAAGGCCTTGTAAAGTGGTATTAATACTTTGCGTGATCTTGATTCTGTCCCTCTGTTACTGCAGCCCAGCACTGTGTTGGCCTTTTTGGCAGCTGCAGCACATGGCTGGCTCCTATCTAAGGGATTGTCCACTAGGACTCCGAGGTCCCTCTCACAGTTACTACTATTGAGAAAGGCACCCCCTGTACTATACCTGTGCATTTGGACACTTTAAACTTTGAAGTGCCCACAACGACGTGGAAAACGACCAAGATAAACAAACAGCCGAACGGTCATTCAAAATCTCTATAAGAGGACTCACCTCTCAAAGCATGCCGAAATCTGATTTGTAAGGTCACCGCCGCTTTGAGGTTGCTCCAGCTGGCGGATGAGGCAGCTGAATTGTCCCAACAACTGGAAGTTAAACAAAAAATATGTGACCTCACTAGGAACAGGATAAGCCAGCGTCACCAACGTTCAGATACAAGGCTGTGGCTTGGTGCCCCAAACACACAGCGAGTGCAAGGTCAAAGGGAAAATTCCTGTAATTCTGGATGCAGGAAAGGGATCTGGAGGCCCACCAGCCCTTACCCAACAGAGCTGCTGTGCTTGTTGCTGTAAAGTCTCTTCCTTCAGCTGCTGGATGAGGTCGACCTGTTCCAGCAAGCAAACTTCGCGGCTTCGCAGGCTTTCCAGGTGGCGACTGATGCAGCTGTGAACCTGAGCCTTCACCTGCAAGAGAGAAGCCACCTCTAATTATAATTCTCTTCCTAAAAGTTTTTTTTTTTCTTCCAAAAGGCGACTGGGTTTTCTAGGAACTGACCTGACCCCAAGAAGCTTCTTGAATGAAAAGCAAAATGTTTTCAAAGAAAAAAAAAACAAACCAAAATAAGAAAGTCCATTTGCCTTTTGGAAAAGCAGCTTTGGGGCGAGAATTGGGCGATTGGGAACCTCCACAGACATTGCTATAGTTCTCTTCTTCTCCAAGTCTCTCCTCCCTCCTGTTCCTATCCCCACATTTTGCAATGCAGGCAGGGTTGAGTTCCCACCCAGTGGGAAGGATGAGATCCCAAGGGACAAGATTCTTCCCAGCAACCAAGATCCAACGCAGCTAATTCGCTGGAAAGATGGGTCAATGGCTTGGAAACGGACAGGTGCTGCTTTACGCTGATGGGGACTTAAGAAAGACTTTAAAGGAATTCAAGATTTCTTTGTCCAGAGTTCATCATAGTTTTCCACGAAAGATTGTCAGAGGTGGGTGCAGGACCTTGAGCGCCAAGGGAAAATGGCAATTCCACATCCATTACATTTCATCCTTTAAAAGAAAACCTAAATCTCCAGAGCAGCAACTTTTAAGATGGGTGGACTTCGACTTCCACAATTCTGAGAGTTGAAGTCCACCCATCTTAAAAGTTACTGAGGTTGAGAGAACACTGCTCTGGAGATATAGCACATTTATCCCTTGTGCGGGAATTTATCCAATTTGAGCAGATATAATGACCTTGTATCTAAAGGGAAAGATACACCATCTTGATGACCGGTTAGATCAGTGTTTCTCAACCTTGACAATTTTAAGGCATGTGGACTTCAACTCCCAGAATTCCACAGCCAGCAATGCTGGCTGTGGAATTCTGGGAGTTGAAGTCCACATGCCTTAAAATTGTCAAGGTTGAGAAACACTGGGTTAGATGGCTGGAGTCCTAATCTGCAGCCCCCAGGAAAAACTATCTAGGTCCATCCATACTGTCTCCAAAAACTGAGATCAACGCCATCCTGTATCTTTACAACGCTGATGATGATTCAGTCCATCCAAGCACGGTCAAAGTTAGACACACACACACACACACCAGTTCCCACGAACGCTCTTGTTTTTCCAGGCTAGCTTTAAGCAGCTGCATAAAACCTGAAGCTTACAAGAAAATCTTCGCTACCAGAACGATTTGTTGATAAATACCAGTACTCAAATATGGAGATTTGATGACATAGATGCGGCATCATGGACACCAGCTTGGCACAGGAAAAAAAAGCCAGAGTTAGATTTAAAAATCTGATTTAAACTCTCACTTATTGGGGTCAAAAAGGCTTTTAGAGATTCGGACTGATTTGACAATGAACTGAGGATGTGAAATTAGTAAGATGATAATTTGTGTAAATGATATGTTTGTCTTAGACACGATAACTACTTTGGTTGAGATTTAAATTTTATTTAACGGGCTGAAATGTTTATTTTTTATTCTGTTTATATAGAAAATTACTTTGTAATAGAAGAAGAACTAGAGAGAGTGACGATAAGAGAAGAAAGGGTATTAACCAATGCTCTATTAAATTAAGAAATGGAATATATGTGAAAATAACTAGAACGGTATTGTTGGAATACTATGTATGTTGTACAAGGGATACCCGAAGCCTTATTAATATGTTTACTTAAGATGAATGTGAATGTGTTAATTGAAATTAGTGAAGCTTAAAGCAGGATGATGACCGTTTGGACTGATTGAATGCTCTCTACATGGGGCTCCCCTTGAGGAGCATTCGGAGGCTCCAGTTAGTCCAGAATGCAGCCGCGCGGGCGGTGATGGGAGTGACTCGTCGCTCCCATGTAACGCCGCTGCTGCGCGAGCTGCACTGGCTGCCGGTGGCCTTCCGGGTGCGCTTCAAGGTGTTGATTATCATCTTTAAAGCGCTCCATGGCATCGGACCTGGTTATCTCCGAGACCGCCTTCTGCCTCAGATTACCTCTCATCGGCCGATACGCTCCCACAGAGTGGGTCTCCTCAGGGTGCCGTCGGCCAGACAGTGCCAGCTGGCGACCCCCAGGGGGAGGGCCTTCTCGGTGGGAGCCCCCACCCTATGGAATGAACTACCCCCAGAGATCCGGGTGATTCCGGATCTCCCCTCCTTCCGCCGCGCCCTCAAGACATGGCTATTTAAGCTAGCAGGACTGGCCTAAGGGTTATCTTAATTTGGTTTTAAAATAATTTTAACAAGAAAAGGCCAAAAAATTAATATTCTATTTTAATTACATTTTAAATTTAGTATTTTTGTATTATGTACTT